ACCTATTAGGGTTTAGGGGTTAGGGTTTAGGGCAACAAGTTTAGGGCAACATAGGGTTTAGGATTTAAGGTTTAGGGTTTATCAACCCAGCCCCATTTACGAATCAATGCTGGTCATTGGAACATTTCTGCTGCTAACTGTCTGAGCTTTTTGTCCCAGGCGCTCCATCCTACGCAGCATTCATGGCTTGTGGTTTTAGGATTTCCGACTCGTTTTTTGTACATGGGTGTGAGGGAGTTTCGTTTTTGTGGTTGTCGTGTTTTTCTAAGTGGCATTGGGTTTAGGGTTGAGGATAGCTCATGTTAAGCTGCATACCGACATTGCGCAGACAACCTCGGGTCCCTAAACCCTAAAACCCCTAAAAACTACAAACCCTAAAAACCCTAACAACCCTAAGCCCTAAAAACCCTAAACCCTAAAGTGTTTGAGGTTTCGGACTTCTTTTGGGTAGGCTCGGAGGGAGTCTCACAGGCTCTGACACAGGAGATGCTTGATGGGGCTCACGTAAGTAAGGGACCTTTTAGGGGCTGATGAAAGTTCGGATCTTAGGTTTTAGGGTTTAGGGTTTAGGGGTTTAGGGTTTAGGGGTTTAGGGTTTAGGGGTTTAGGGGTTTAGGGTTTAGGGCATAGGACTGGGCATTTAGGATCGAGGGTTCAGGTTACGAGGGCTTGGTTCAGGATGCAGGGTTCAGCAGCTTTGATGCAGGCTCTTGGTCAATGTTGAGTGTGTAAGATGGTCTTGGGAAACCCTACAGCCTAAACCCTTAAACCCGAAACCCCCAAAACCTAAACCGTTAGACCCTAAGTCCTGCACCCGAAGGCGGGCAGGGTTGAGAGTGTAACTTGCCGCAAATGCCGAGCGACCAGGTATTGCATCTGAGCTAGCGCTCGCCCTCGGCTCATCACGCCAGGACTGGTGGATGGGAGGGTTTTGGGTTCAGGGTTGGGGTTTAGGGTTAAGGATTTAGGGCCTTTAGGGTTTCGGGCCCTTATGGTTTGGGGTTCAGGATGGAAGGGCGTGAGGGATGGATTCGACATCATGGGGTCTACAAAAAAAATGTGAAGGCTAAGGATCAGTATGGGCAGTAATCCTTAGGATAGGGTTTTGGGGCTTTGGTGGGTCTGACATTCTGGCAGCGTAGACATTGAACTTCGGCTCTTAGTTTCGATTTCGGTCGGGCTTTTGCGGAGTGGGGTGTTGGATTCAAGCAGGTTTGGGGTAGAAATCGATTTTCGGATTCAGGAGGTTTGACATGAAAATAGGCGTCGAATAATGTAGAAGAGAGTGCCCAAGAATCATCGCAGCGGTTCTTAGAGTCCCTACTCAGCAGCGTGTTTTTACGATCTTTCGGGCGTAAACGAACGGCTAGGGAGGGGGAAGGGAACAGCGGGGGAGGGGGGCGGGCCGGGGGGGGCGAGGGGGGTCGTGGCGGGCAGGGCGGGGGCGGAGAGCCCTATAAGCCCTACTTAGGATCCAAAAACCTACCGTTTTATGGGTTCTAGCCTCTAATTCAAGGGTCATAACCTACTATTTGTAGGGTTTGGGGTCACAGGTAAACCCTAAACCCTAAACCCTAAACCCCTAAACCCTGAACCCTAAACCCCTAAACCCTAAACCCCTAACCCTAAACCCCAAATGCAGCGCAGGAGGCGCCAGCTGCCATCAAAGAGGTGGGACATCGCGCTCGGCTGATGGCAGCAAGCGCTCAAGGGACTTACTAATATAGAATTAGGGTTTAGGGTTTAGGGTTCAAGGGCCTTACTAATTGAATCATAATTCCCAAAGGCTCGTGCGAATTAGTAGGGTTTAGGGTTGAGGGTTTAGGGTTCAGGGCTAAGCTTCAGGAGTCTGGGGTTTGCGAGAGGTTCGCGTTCTGTAAGATTCAGCTGCTTTTGTTTGAGGGTTTCGGATTTAGGGCTTAGGGTTGAGGGTATAGAGCATTCGGTTACATAACGTTTAGGACGGAACTCTAAGTCCAGAAGAAGTATGATCATTCTCTCAGACTCCTGTCCCTCCGGGCTTTATCACTGAACAGACCCCGCGACAGCAAGACTCGAACCTCTCTCCCTACAGGATTGCGACGGGATTCGTTTGTTTTTGAAGGTCCTCTGTCAAGGCATTTGTAGTTTCCCTAAGCCGCCTGAGCCCTACACACCCTAAACTCTAAACCCTTCCTTGTCATGCAAGTGATGTCTTCAACTGTATTCCCGAAGGAGCCCCAGACACACAGGGCCAGGGCGTAAACCCCCAAAAACATTATGTAAAAACTAAAAACTCAAACCCTAGTGCCCCAACCCTCCAAACCTGGACCCCTAAACTCTAAACGCTTGAGTCCCAAACCCCTAAACCCAAAACCCGAACCCACTAGATTTCAAAGCCCATTTTCTCCCCAAGCCCCCCAAACTTTGCTTCACCCAGACCGGCAGGCTTCAAGATATATTGAATTCAGGAGTAGACTCTTTGCATCCAGCCCTGATCCCTAAAACTTGATCCATCTCAAACCCGAAACGCGATAAGCCCAAATCCTTGTAGTGAAGGGATGTGGGATTGTTGTTTCGAAGGCGGTGCTCGCAGAGATGCGAGGTTTGAAGGCATTTTAGTTTGCAGGGCTTTAGTGCCAGGCGATCCTGTCGACGATTCTTCCCAGCTGGAGCGTCGAGAGCGAAGGCCATGAATCCCGAACCCCTTCACCTCAAACCCTCGAAAGCATTATTGGGCCATGTGTCCAGGATTGTAGAGTTGTGGGCACAGGGTGTTGACTAGTTCTGGGCATTGCGATGCAGGGCTATCTATATTTGCTTGACGAATCATTGGACTTCGTAAGTCGAATCATATGTACCTCATTGACATTTATCTAGGTTGACAACCCCACTGACTAAGACCCATGATCCTTCAAGTAGAGGCATGGCTCAAACTCAAAGGCTTGAATGCTGGATGCATCGGATCTTGTGCGTTTTGGGTACAAGCTGTATTTTGTGAAATGCTAAAGCCTACATGCTCTTAAAGCCCTGCATGAATCCTCCAACTTCAACCTAAAATGATACCAAGCAGCTTGTATATCAGCGAGAACAGCATCGAGAAGAAGCTACAATAAGCCTTGGTTATATTTGGCCTATTCAACCTTTGCTGTTGGGTCTCCGATACCTTCTGGACTACACAGACAGCATAAAACAACCATACAGCCAACAAGTACTTGTAGCTTCTAGCAGGTTGAAGAGGGCGTGGCGTAGCCATGAAAACCCTGCTTAAACCCTAAACCCTAAAAGCCCTAAGAACCTTAAACCCTAAACCCTAAAAAACAGACTGATGTTTTTTTCGAAACCCGGCAGAAAGACTGGGGTGAGTGCAAGCCTGATAAGCAGGCCGGGTGCGAGAGTCAAATGCCCGCATATAAAGAACTCTAAAAATCCCGAAATAACCCTAAACCCCTCACATGTTCTAAGACTCACAAGCCACCCAAGACTTCCAATGTAAAGTTTTCTTTGGGTGTAGGATTTAAGGTTTAAGGTGTAGGGTTTTAGGGTTGGAGGTTGTGGGTTTAGGGTTTTCAACCACGAAGCGAGCTGAAAGAACATCGCAGGTGGGAGCCCCGAAAATCGGAGGAACCTTGTGGCAAACCCTCCAAGTCCCACTTAACTGTCGCACGAGGTCTTCAAAGTATATAAGCCGACCGACACCTGGCAAAACCGCTGCGACGTATCGTTGGAAGTCCTCTACTAACCGGGTGAACAACAGCTCGTGCCAAAACCCTAAACCCTAACCCCTAAACCCTAAACCCTAAACCCTAAACTAACGCATATCACCTTTAAGAACAAGCAAGGCGAGCCTGACATGGATCCTTCCTAAACCCTAGCCCCTGAAAGGCAGCATTAAAAAGGGAACTAAACCTCTGGCCCTGAACCGTATTAGGGTTTAAGGTTTCAGGTTTAGGGTTTAAGGTTTGGGGTTTAGGGTTTGGGGCTTAGGGTTTGGGGTTTAGGGTTCAGGGTTTAGGGTTTAGGGTTTAGGGCCTAAACGACGCTTTGTCTCTTGTGTCGGAGGCCCGGCGGCGCCGGCTCCACCCCGAGCACGGATCCTGGAGAAGATCTGACATAATGAGGTTTCCATTAAGGGATTCACAAGAGTTCTTAGGGGTTTAGGGTTCAGGGTTTATTTTAGGGCTCATTAGTAATTAGGTTTATATAACCCTAAGGGTCCAAGTACCCAAATAGTAGGGTTTCAAGGTCCAAAAACCAGTCAGAGTATGGATTTTAGGACCTAAAACCTTACTAGTTGGATACTCGGACCCTCTGGGTAAGGTTTAGGTCACTTTGTGCATTTGTTTCAGAGAATTTTGTTTGGGTGGGAGTCTGGGCAGTCGTGGGCCTTGGTGCCTTGGTGTAGGCCTTACAACGCTCTAGTGCTCAGGCTATAAGCCCGAAACTTCGAGGGAGGTTGGAGCTTAGGGGATTTCGGGTTTAGGGTTTAGGGGTTTAGGGTTTCGGGTTTGACAAGTCTCTGCAAGAACAACCCATTTCAGGATTTTGGTCCACCCGTTGAGGTTAGGATTTAGGGTTTTAGGTTTGCCAGTGGCGGGTTGGCCTCCCATGTTCTACTGCTAGTTCTGCTTTCCGAGTACATTGCTGTGAAGCCATCTTTGTGGGGCCACATGTCCCACGCCAAGTCTCGGGAGTTCTTCTGTGAAGTGGTGGCAGTGCATCGAGACCTTCGGCGCAAGCTCTCTCCTCAGGCGAAGGAGTATCACCGCCCCCTTTATGCGCAAGCTACAAAGGGAGATGACGGCAGTACTTTCTTGTTTTTGGCGAGCCGGCGTCTGTGAGCGGGGACCGGTCCCGAGCACACCCACGAAGTGGGCAGAGAAAATTGGCCCTTCCCGAACTTGGATCGGCGATTTGCAAGATCAGGCAGAACGAGAACTATCGACACAGTGACATCGCTAATCAGGTGATGTGGTGAACCGTTTGAGGACTTCATCTACTAGTCCAAGCCGAACGGCGACATGGAGCTGACAGAGAACAGCTTTCCACGTGCGAGCTCGAGTTGCGCACTTAAAGGCGCACGAGACTATGCACATGCCCTGCCTTCCTGTTTGGTTATCGGATGCCAAGTTCTTGCACAGGGTTGTCCTAAACCCCAAACCCTAAGCCCTAAACCCTAAAGCACAAAGTTTCTGTAACCGACGTTCACGAAGTGGTCCTAACAACCTCAAGTCCTGAGCGCCCTGAAACCCTGCCATGCCCCTAATGTAGAAGCCTTTAGTCTTACCAATACTATTCTGGGGGTTCTTTATTATAAATACTATAAAGGAGCCCAAAACCCTATTCTAGTTACTAAATACTAAAGCCCCTATACTACCGAAACTTTACCCTAAACCCTAAGCTTTGAACATATCAAAAAAGGAGCCAAAATGTGTACCCATTGGCTCCATTGTAGTTCCTTTTGGGGGTTACCTTATGTAGGATCCTAGGTATAAGCCAGAAAAGGAGCTGGGGGTTACCTTATAGGATCCTAGGTATAAGCCAGAAAAACGATCTACAATTCAGTCCAAATGTTTACTTACATGGTCGAAGCCCTGCAATGCTGATCTAAACCCTGTACCCTAAACCCTAATGCCTTGAAGCTCCGTTCCCTCAGCTCCAGCACTCCTTAAATCCACTTCGGGTCTTTTTGGTTTAGGGTTTGTAGGGTTTCTGGTTTACAGGATTTCGGGTTTAGATTGGTTGAGGGTTTATAGGGCCTATAGGGTTTAGGGTCTAGGGTTTATCGGGTTTATGGTTTACCGCCTGAAGCTGCTTATGCTGCAGCCGTTTTGCCAGCCACTGCCGATGTCTAGCGTGGCCAATATTAAGAGGTTTGGGGCTTCTAGACTGGTTGGGACAGATATTTTGTTGTGTAATATTTGGGGTTCCGTTCCTATCACAAAGGGTACTGCAGAAAATTGTTTGCATAGCCTTGCAGAGGGAGCCGGGGACTAGTCAGGGTTTAGGATGCAGTTGAACGTGCGACGTTTCCGCTTCAGGTACAAGGTATAGCGATTGCGAACAAAAAGTAGGGTATTGCTAACAGTCATCACATTCCTGTCGTGACAAATGCTCGAGCGCACAAGTAGCCAGTGTACAACCGTTTACGCTTTAGTTGCGCAACCACGGCCCCCAGAACCTGAAAGCATACAATATCAGCCATATATAATATAACAAAACCTAATTAAGTCGCACGTAGCTTAAACAGGATATTGAAGGAGCCCTTAAAGGAACCCTTTGAAGGAGCCCTTTTTCGCCGTGGCCCCGTCGGCATGTTGAGTGTGCGGCTCGTCTCGGGCGTCGAGTTGGTGAACTTTGCTGCGGCCGACTTCGAGGCAACCAGTTTTCGGTTAAGGGTTTAGGGGTTTAGGGTTTGGGTGGGGTTCATATAGACCATAAACCCTAAATATAAGGGGTCGCCGGCATGAACCTTAAACCCTTTTCGCGTCCGTTTCGTCCCTAACACTTGAGGCCTAATGAAGTCTTTCAATTCGTTCTAGCGTTGTAGCGGCTCGAGGTGTATATGGTTTGCCTTTATATGTGATTGCTGCTTGTGTTCCTTTCTACTGGGAGGAGCCGGGGGCATAGCTTCTCCATCACTTCCGTCTATACAGGTGTTCCCTAAACCCTAAACCCCAAACCCCAAACCCTATGCAGGTGTGACAGGTGTTCAGTAAGTCCCACAGTCGTTCTAAAGCCGTGTTCTCAGCTGCCTTAACCGAGCCTCCCGGCTCTGAAGAGCAAGATTCCTCTACGCGTTACTACAGTAACTGTTTAGGGTTTAGTGTTTAGGGGTTAGGGTTTTAGGGTTTAGGATTTAGGGTTTTAGGGTTTAGGGTTTGGGACTACAGTTTTTCTGTTGTATAAGGGCTCCGTTTAGAGTTCAGGGCTTGGCCGAGATATAGATATGCCAACAGATAGTTATTGAAGTTTTCGCATACACATAAGTGTGTGTGTATATATATATATATATACACGTGTATAAACGTAGTTGGTACCCCTCCCCCCCCAACAAGGGCAAGTTTCATCAGCTTCTGTCTGGAGTCTAGAAATCTAGAGAGGACGAGGGTTCGTCGACATGTACATCTCAGGTGTTGGTTTTCTGGGTTCAAGCAGGGCGTGCTCGAGGCTGATTCAGAATTTTGACTGTTCGTATACTATGGGTTGAGGGTTGAAGCTGGTTTAGGCACAACGCACAGACATTGAACCAGATTAAACCCTAACCCCAAACCCACACACACGCTCAAAAATAAAGCTGCCTTTGTGATACCTCCCGCAGCAGGCACTGATACAAGATGGCGGCAACTCTGTGCGGACACTGTCGCCTGCCTTTGTTACTGTGAGCCAGGCAAAGATGCAAGCTTCCATGCGGTTTTAGGGTTTAGGTCTCATGCGATTTGTACTTAGATGTTTTTGTTGTCGTTTTCGTGTGTTTATCGCAGGTGTTTACAGGGGTTCAAGGCCTGGGGCTCAATTCGCGATTACTTCCTTGGTCCTAGCTGTTCGGAGCGACAGGGAGCGGGTAGGATCCAGAGTTCAACCACAGGAGCTTAGGGTTAGGGTAGAGTCTGGGGTTTCAGATGTTCTGACATAGATCTGAGCCAGCTACAACTGTTGCGTAGGCTCTGACGAATTTTAAAAAGCGGTTTAGAGCCCTGGAAAGTTCAGGCGATCGGAGCCACGGGCAGATCTATTCGAGCTCAGGTCCCCGGTGTTTTTTTGCGCTCTGTTCGAAAAAAGTCAGAAATTCCTGTTCGGCTGCGGGAATCGTACGAACCAAACACTCCAAAAAGTCATGGCTTTTACGAGATGAAATTTCATAAGATGGGAACCAGATCAAGAAGTTCTGGGTCAGTATAAGGGTAGGGTTTAGGGTTTAGGGTTTAGGGTTTAGGGTTTAGGGTTTAGGGGATATGAATCCTAACCCTGCGGGTCCAGGTGCCCAAAAGGCTTGGAAAAGCTACATATTTTCTGAATGGCTTCGGGGACTTATGACCCTGATGTTTGAGTACCTGGACCCTTAGGGCTTTGGGTTATAGGGCCAAGGTTTCTTAACTAGTTTTCCTACATTACCCTAAACTCTACAAACCCATACTTCGACTGGCGCAGGCAAACTTCGTGCAGACGAAGAGGGCCCTTGAACGAAAAAAACACGTCGGGTCATTCGAGGCCCCAAGGTGCGGGCCGAACAACCAGGTTTAGGGTTTAGGGTTTAGGGTTTAGGGGTTTAGGGTTTAGGGTTTAGGGGTTAGGGGTTTAGGGTTTAGGGTTTCGGGTTTTAGGGTTTTGGTACTCTACGAAATACCTCCACTTGGGGTTCAGGATGAAGGGTTGGGGTTCCGGGTTTAGGGCACAGGGTAGTTTAGGGATTAGGGTTAATTAGGGTCTGGGATTTGGGGTTTAATTAGTGTGTATAAGGGCTCTACGATCCTGGTTGTCTAACATGAACCGCTGGGGGAATGCCGAGGAAGCGCCACCTCGCATTGCTTACAGGAAAGCCACGACGCCCGGTGTGCATCCAGGGTTGCATGGCATGGTTTAGGTACTTTTCAGTAACGGCCGATTTGCAGGATCCTGTCGTCCAATAGTATGAGCGTCGGAATACTTGCTAATACTACTCCCTCGCGTTCCTTGTTATGGGTAGTTCTCTAGATTGGGGCCCCTTTTGGGTCCCCAATATAGTACGGCACCCTTGTAAAAAGGACCCGAAAAGGGACCCTAATATTGAAAACTACTCTTATAGCTATACTGTAGTTAACATACCACCAAATTCGAATCTCAGAATTTAGGACCCATAATTCGTGCGCGGACATGGTAAGGGCTTGAAGCGCTGAGGGGGCTGAGGAGATCCGGATTTGTGGCGTTTAGGGTTTAGGGTTTAGGGGTTGAGGGTTTAGGGTATAAACTTTGTAAGAGTATTTTGGCGGCTCTATGAGTTGTTTTGACTGTTTTTTCCTAGGTTTTAGGGTAGAGGGTTTGGGATTTAGGCAATCTAACAGCCGCAGGTTTGAATGTTTCGGGCGTAGGGTTCAGGGACTCGGGTTTAGGGCTCACTGTCGAGGACATGCAACTAGAGGTGTATGCTGGGATTGGGGTTGGTCTGGTTTGCCCTAAACCCCAAACCCTAAACCCTAAACCCTAAACTATAGGAGTCGGAACAATTAGAAATAGAATTTCCTTGCACTCCCCTGGTAACTACTTACACGATACAGACTTCACCCCCGAACCTTATTCTAATTGCTAAGGCCGCTGCATTATCGATAGATGTACATACTCGAATTATGGCTGACCCCAAGTCGTGAAATCCCGAAACTTAGGGTTTAGGACTTATGAGGCTCGTAGGGTTTAGGGTGTATACATGGGGCTTGTAGGGTTTAGGGTTTAGGGGTTTAGAGGTTTAGGGTTTAGGGTTTAGGGTTTAGGGTTTAGGGCCAAAGGGTGTATACATGGGGTTTGTAGGGTTTCGGAAACCCCGTAAGGCTGTTGTTCAGAAAGCCAAACCCTCAAGATGAGGTTTAGGGCCTGGGGTTTAGGATGCAGAATTTAGGACTTGGTCTGTAGGGCTTCACGTTTATCGTTCAGGGTTTCGGGGTTCAGAGTGTAAAGTTTAAGCCCGAAGGTTTTGCGTCCACGGACACTAGACTTCTATACTGAAACCCTTCCAAAGCACCCTTTTCCTTTGGTGAAGGTCCCTTACATAGTAGGTTCTGTTTTCAACATGATAAGGTTTGATGTTTAGCGAGTACGTTTCAGGACGGATTTTCGATCTTAATGTTGTTGGTTGAGGGTCAGCCCGAACCCCCGAACCCTAAACCCCTAAACCCTGAACCATAGAACCCCCAACCCTAAACCCCTAAACCCTGAACCCTAAACCCCTAAACCCTGAACCCTCGAACCCCCAACCCTAACCCCGAAACCCTAAACCCCCAACCCTAAACCCGGAACCCTAGACCCTAAACCCTAGAACCCCCAACCCTGCCCCCTCACCCCTAAACCCTACTAAACCCCAACCCTACCCCCTAAACCCTCAACCCCCAACCCTAAACCCCAATCCCTAGACCCCAAACCCAAGAACCCCCAACCCTAACCCATAAGTGCCCATAAGCCCTAAACCCCAAACCCCAACCCTTAAACCCTCCACCCACAGACCTGGGCAACTGGGGGCCTGAACAACTACTCATTAATGCCATTGCAGGGGGCCCAAGGGTTCAGGGGCCAGGGTTTCGGGTTTAGGTAGGGGCCTAAATAACTACCTATACATGTTGGGGGTTCCTTCTTACAAACATAGTATACTGGGCTCGCAAACCCTATTCCAATTATTCGGGCCGCTAGATTCTACACAAAGTTTAGGTTCTAGGGTTAAGGGTTTAGGGCTTAGGGTTGGGGTTTAGGGTTAGGGTTTACGAACCCCCCCCCAGACCCTATGCTAGTTATGAAGACAGCTACATTACAGCAGTATTGACACCCAGGATTTCAGCAGCGCCTTCTTTGCGATGGTAACGAAACATGGCTGAACACACCTGTTTTGGCTGGTTGTGGGTGTAGGGTCCCACCGGCTGGCGGATTTATAAACCAACATATCTCCTTGCCAGCATTTCTTGGGGTTCAGCCCTCAATAGTGCAGGATAGTTCAAGTGCTAAACCGTGGACAAAGTCTGCTGGGTCATGGTTGGGTTTGTTGTGTCTGTTT